TGCGCGGGAGCTGCGCAGAGGAGTTCGGCACGGCTGTGATGAGCGGTGCCGCGGATCATTTGGCCTGGCAGTTCGAGAACTCGAGTTTTCCTGCAGCACAACTCCCTGACCCCACGGAGGAGCCCAGGAGTTATGGACCCGAGCCCGCGGAGCATGGTCATGGAGAGGTTCCCAGGGACGTTTCGGAGAGACCTGAGTGGGGCAAAACACCGCAGGAGGTTCGAGCAGAGATTCGCGAGGCACTGCAGAAGACGGTGAAGGAGGAGTCCATGCAGCACCCTGCGGAGGAGGAGGAGGTTGCAGCCTCCTGGTCAGAAATGGAGCTTCCAGAGGTGGTGCGGCAGGACATCATGATGAAGATTCCGCGAAGTACGCGACGTGCTGTGCGCAAGGCCCATCGCGGTCTTGGACACCCCAGCCGACCGACGTTCATCAAGATGCTGCGTCTCGGCGGTGCCACACCTAACGCGTTGGCATACGCGAAGCATTGGCAGTGTCCGACTTGTGCTGAGTCGGAGGCGCCGCCCCGTCCGGTGCAAGGGACGGCGGATGTGCGACCATTCGGCTTCAATGTGACGGTTGTGATCGACGTGAAGTACCTACGGGACGCGGCCAAGGAGCAGCTGGTGGTCCTCAGCATGGTGGATGCCAGTACGGGATGGCACTGCGCCTGCCTTCTCAAGAATAGGACGGCCAAGCACGTAGCACGCCAGATCATGAACGAGTGGTTCAAGCATTACGGCGTGCCAGAAAACATCGTGATCGATCAGGGCGGCGAGTTCGAGGGCTACTTCAACGCGTTGATGGAGCAGTTCGGCATTAATACGAAGACGACGGGAGCTCATGCAGCATGGCAGCATGGCCTGGCCGAGCGCCACGGAGGATTGCTCGGCGCTATCTGGGGCAAGGTGGTGCACGAGTTCCACGTCCAGGGCAAGTCGATGTCTACTGTGGCCCTGGCTGCCATCATCAATGCGAAAAACTCCACGATCAGCCGCAATGGATTGACCCCGGAGCAGGCTGTCTTCGGGCGGATCTTGAACTTTACGGAGGTGACTAACAGGGACGACGATGAGGTTCTCATGTCGGTCCTCGGCGCCAAGGGCATAGCTTGGCGTTCGTCCCAAATCCGCACCGCAGCAAAGATGATGTTGCTGGAGCGCGACGCGACGGACAAGGTGCGGAGGGCGTTGCTACGACAGGCGCCGACGGTCGTCGGTGATCTGTGCCCAGGATCGAGGGTGTATTTCTGGGCACCGAATCCGTTCAAGGGACGTCGTCGGCAAGATCCTGAAAGATGGCGGGGTCCTGCGACTGTGATCGCGAAGGAGTCCAACAGCCGTTACTACGTATCCTGGCGTGGTCACGTGCTACTTGTTGCTCGTGAGCAGCTCCGGCACGCCTCCTCCCAGGAGGCCGCAGCTGCGGAGTCCATCCAGACGGACGTGCGACTGACGCAGCAGCGAGATGACCGCGCTCACCACGACATCGTGGACGTCACGCCCAAGGTGAAGGTTCAGAAGGTGAAGAAGACGTTCTTGAAGAAGGAGCGTGACCGACATGGGGAGCTCGAGGGGTCCAGGCAGCCTCGTGTGGACCTGAGGGCCCTGGACGCCATTGAGGCACAGGCCAAGGAGGAGGAGCCGCCTGAGCAGCAGCAGCTGCCGCAGCTTCCCCCTCCGAAGAGGGAACGTTCTCGTTCCCCTCCAGGGCGGATATCCTCTGAGGTGTACCCGAAGGCCTCTCCGGGAGCATCGGGCTCTGGCGGCCCTTCGGTGCCGCCGATTCCCAGAGACGATTTCGAGCTTGAGCGAAAACGGAAGTTCCTGGTAGATGACGTGCCGATTTGCATCAAGAAGACGCGTCTGCAGGCTGCTCCTACGAGTGGTTTGCCGGCCCTCCGCGAAGTGGCCATGAACGCCGTTGTGCACTCGGGGCCTCAGGAGTGGTTCGACCAGAATGCCTTGGATGGTGTCTCCACGCTCGTTCAGAAGGTCGTACGAGGAGTACGTGTACACCGAGAGCCACGGCGGAGACTCTATGATCACGACCGCCACCGGGAGTGCAATCGCCTCTCGGTGATGCTCTCCGCTACGGGCCAGTGTGCCTACAAGGACGACGGCGCGAACCGTACCAACGAGCGCACGGAGGACAGCTGGGTTGGTCTCACGCTTTTCTACCACGACAAGCCGGACGCTCATGCACAAGGGGTGTACTATTTGGACACTCCGGAGGGGCTTGTACGACAGCCGATGACTTACGAAGAATGGATCAACGTGTCATCTGTGTATGACGCATGGCTGCAGGAGGCCAGGTACGAGCACGACGTGTTCGCACTCGTGATGAAGCAGAACGCGAAGGAGCTAGACCCACGTCACTTCAACCAGCACGAGAAGGCTAAGTTCGACGAGGCCGATGCCGCCGAGTGGCGGCAATGGATCGCCAACAACACGGTCGAGCTGGTCACCGAGGAGGAGGAGAAGAGCATCCCGAAGGACAAGATCATCTCGGTGCCCATGCGTTCGGTTCGCACGAACCGGGGACGAGGGCCGGAGCTGGAGGCGAAGTCTCGCTTGATCATCCCTGGCCATCTCGATCCGCAGCTTGGTCTATTCAGGACGGATTCGCCTACTACTTCCCCTTTGGCTGTGCTGGTGTGTGCGTCTATCACAATGGCGATGGATTGGACATTCGAATGTTTCGACGTAGCGACTGCGTTCCTGTCCGGGCTGAAGCTGGAACGGGAGCTGTATGTGAGGGCTCCTAAGGACGGGCTTCCAGCCGTCGACGGTGCTGGATGGCCAGCCGTGCGGCCTTGTGCGTTGCTGCGCTTGCTGAAAGGGGCGTACGGTCTGACTGAGGCGCCTCGGTTGTGGTATCTCCGAGCCCGCCAGGTGTTGACGGACGAGGTCGGTTTCGTGGAGCTGCGCTGTGCTCGAGCTGTCTTCGTTTATCGAATGAAAGACAAGTTGATCGCTATGTTGACCTTGCACGTCGATGACGGCATGCTGTTTGGAGACCCACACGAACCCCAGTACCAGGAGGTGAAGGCGAACATCAACAGTCGTTTCAACATCAAGCACTGGAAGAAGGGCAACGACAAGGAGGCAATCGCCTATCTCGGTGAGGAGTGGTGGCGCCACCCTGATCACATCGAGATCAGCATGCACGAGTACGTCGGCAAGCTGACGAAGCACCCCCTTGCAAGGGGTGACAACGAGGAGCGGGGGATGACTCCCGAGGAGCACCACGACTACCGGAGCTTGCTCCAGAAGGTGCGGTGGCCTGTCGCACGCGTGGTGCCACAACTCGCGTATAGTGTCTCGGCGCTCGCACAGAAGGATCCGAAAGGTCGGAGGTTGCTGCGCCTGCGAGTGCTCAATGACATCATCGACCGGCTTCAGGACTACGACAAGAGAGGTCTTGCGACTCTCCGGATCCGCCGTGTGGACATCGAGCGCTTGCAGGTGCTCACGCTTATGGACGCTTCGTTTGCGAAGGAACCCGGCTGTAAGAGCCAGATGGGGTTCATGAGTATGATTGCGGACACCCGAGTTTTGAAGGAGCTAACCGTATGCTGTCTAGTGGAGTTTCAGAGCAGTACTATTACACGAGTTGTTGGATCTACGATGGCCGCAGAATCTGCGGCTATGTCCGTGGCTTTGGATCGGCAGCTTTACCTCAGGCTGCTGATTGAGGCAATCTTGTACGGGGAGCCGCCCTTGCAAGGGGACTGGAGGCTGGCGCTGAAGGTTCCAGGGGCGCTCGTGACGGATGCGAAGTCGCTCTACGATCACACGTCCAAGATCGGGTCGATGCCGGTGTCTCGGCAGACCCTCATTGACTTGCTGGTGGCCAAGGATTTGATAGAGCAGGAGGCCATCAAGTTCAAGTGGCTGCCTAATAGCCACATGCTAGCGGATGTGTTGACAAAAGCCGTGCAGCCTAACGAGGTACTATCGCAGTTCCTCCGCCACGGCCTGTTCAGCATGGTGCCTACTGCTGAGCAAGAGGATGAGGAGGCACACCGTCTGCGGCTGCGCCGCGGACAGCGTGAGCGAGCCAAGGAGCGGAAGGCCCAGCGTCGGGTCGCCGTTCCAGGGCCTGCGAGCCCGTGAGGTCCTGATTGCAGCTGCTGATGGACCTAGTGAGGGCTACGGTGATGTATGCATATCCTTTGAGTTGATCGTCTGGAGTAGTGTATCCAGATATTCATATTCTTGTATTTATATTTTGAGCCTCAGGCCGCACCTTGCTTGAGGTGTCTCATGCATATCTTTTGAGTTGACAGTCTGGATTGGTGAATCTAGACATTCATATTTATATTTCGAGCCTCAGGCCGCATCTGCTTGAGGTGTTTCGGCCCGTGGGCTGATATACATTATAATTGCGGGCAGCGTTGCCCTTTCAGAGGGAGCGGCATCGGGGCAGCATTGTACTCACCCAGTGTGAAGAGTGCACTCCCCTGCCCCTCTGCCGCCCGTGCCACCATGTGTGTATGTTGTACGCGCTTGTCTTGTTTTGTGGCATGCACGCTGCCCGCCGCTGTTTTGGCCCTAGTCCTAGGGCCGTGGGACGCACCCGCAGTTGGACTGCCGCGCGGTCTTTGCTGAAAACAACTGCACTGACACCTGGGTCCCTTCTTGGACGGTTGAGAAACGGCTCGGGATGAGAAACCAGTCCCCTGGAAGGGGTCCAGACCTCCAGGGGGCCACGTCGCGACAACATCACGACGTCCGATGTCTGTGACGTACTTCTTTTCCCCGTTCCACCTCCACGTCCCTCCTGTCATCTCCTCCGTGTTTCCTTCTTCCTTCCTGTGTCCTTCTCTCTTTTCCTCCCTTCCCCCTCCCTCTCTCCTCTTTCCTCCCCTTTCATACGTGTGCATCATCGTACACATGCGTTCCTGAAGCGATGACAGCGACGCTTAGCGATGCTCACGACACTGACGAGGCGACGGTGACTTCGACGAGCAAACGCAGACGAGCTTCCCCAGTGAGGTGTGGCAAAGTGATCCTCGACGCGGACAAATTGCTGGTCCGCCCGAACCTCAAGCCGAGGAGGATGGCTCTCCCTCTCCCCGAGTAAGTTTAGACAGTGAAGCCAGAGGATGAAAGCACTCTGATCCAACCATTATGTCAGTATCGGGCTGACGTTTCTTGCTGGACTTTTCTGAACCAAATTGACTACTGATCATGTGCATGGAAAGGTATGTGCAAGAAGTTAGAACGGAACAAAAGCCCACGTGGGTGGGAGAAACCCGTGCCGGTTCTGAGTCCAATTCCCTAAGGAGCGCCTACGATCTGCCTGCGTGACATGGGTTGTTTGGGCTTCCCACGGGTCTCCCAGTCATAGGATCTCGGCCTAAGGCTGCCTCTTCGCGCTGGGATTCTGCTTGCCCGCAAGGTCCCGCCCATGGGTTCCGTTGTCCAACGGGTCGCCGCCGGGTGTTGCTAGAAGTGCCCCTGGCTCAAGGTGGCCCCAGGATTTCCAACCAGAGAACCCCTCATCCGGGGGCAAAGATAGGAGGGGATAGGCATAGGGGGGATGCAACGACCCCCAATCGCCCATTGATCGCCGATAGGGACCCGCTAGCCCCAACCTGTCCAGGAAGGTGCGGATTCATTTTCGGGGGCCTATCGCCGATCTATCGGCGATGTATCGACGATTCCAGGTCGATGCTTCCCCCTCTGTGCCAGCCCCCCCCTATCGTTGCCCCTCACCCATGGGGCCCAGAGGAGGGCCCCCAGGGGCCTCAGAAGCGAGCGAAACGCTGGCGTCAACTTGGGCCCTGAGGCACCTCTAGCAACCCCCCATCCAATGCCTCCCCTCCGTACAGCGTCGCTGCGCCGGGATTACATTAGTTGCCGATACAGGACGCCAGTGCAGCTCGTGAGCCTGCCCGAGGCATTGGACCCGTCGCTCTCGCCCACTCCTCCCGATGAAAGTCGACTGACCACCTCACGGATTCTGGCTGGGCCTATTCTGTGCCGAAGATCGGTGTCTATGCCCCCCTATGCCAAGCTCAGCCAAGCTTGGGGGGGGGGGAGGGGGGGAGGGCTATTGAGAAGCGCCCCGCTTCTTAGACGGCGCGGCCCTTAACTATAGATGTAGGGCCGGCGCCTTCTGAGAAGCAGCCTCCTAAGAAGCCTTCCCCCCTCCCTCCACCCCATGATGCGCGCCGCCAACAGGCTAGGAGGGCGTGTGTGCACCGACCCGGGGCCCAGGAGATGGCACGGCCAGGATCTGTGAGGCCTCGGCGACGCGCAAGACTGGCACTGCGCGGGAGCTGTCCTCTTGCCTGCGCGGCTCTCGGGGGGCTTTCGGGGGGCCAAGCCCAAAAGCACGCAGGTCACTGCTGTCTCATCGCACGCACCGCTCGGCCACGCTTGCCCCGGGTGATTCTGGCGTGCAGCCGACCGGCGGCTACCCGACGCTCCCAGACTCCTTCCCTCGTGGGCCAAGCACATGATACTGGTATCCACGGCCTCGCAGGACGGGCCCCTGGGCCGCGGCCCCGCGGACACGGAGCGTTTTTTCTTCGCGGGCGCTCCGCGCAGAACGTACCCGTGCGACCGCGTATCCGCGGGATCGCAGACCCGGAATCCAGAACACGAGGCTGCGGATACGGATGTGCCCGCCGCCTGTGATTCCCGCCTCCCCGAGAAGGAACACGCTGATCCTCCACGATCTGCCAGACGGGGTGTCCGAGGAGGAGCTCCGGCACCTCTTCGAAGGGCCCCCGGCCCGCGCCCGCGCGCGGCCGCCGTGGCCCTGGACTCGGCCCTGTCTCCTCCCAGGGGCGCTGGTGGGCTTCGGAAGGGCGCGAGGAGGGTGGCCCTGACTTCCTCGCGTCGTGAAGACAGGCACGACGAGAGGTTTTTGGTAGTTTTCTCAGGCTCCCGCAGGTTTTCCAGTCTCGGGGTGCTCTCCTGCAGCTGCGCCTCGCCTGGGGATGCCCATATCGTCCCCAGCGGCCGCTGGAGACCCGACACGACGTCGGATATTTTGCGTCGTGGGAGCACGATCAGGGTGATTAGGAGGGGGATGAGGAACCGAGTTCGCTCTGTTCGGAACGAAGCGACGAAGGAAAAAGCAGCATACACACATTTGATGGGAGTTCTGCGCGGATTTCTCGGAATGGCGTTGGGTCTCGCTGGCGGCGCCAGAGGCGCCGCCCCTGCCGAGGCAACGTGGCGAAACCTCGCCGGTCCGAGTCCCACCCGGCGGCAGCGAGGCGGCAACGAGGCGGCCACGGGCGGCAACGCGGCGACACCTCGCAAGACCCACCAAGCGCACGAGGCGTCAACGAGGCGGCGCACGAGGCGGCCACGGGCGGCAACGTGGCGAAACCTCGCCGGTCCCACCCGGCGCGCGAGGCGGCAACGAGGCGGCAACGTGGAGAGGCCTCGCTGGACCCTTTGAACGCAGGAGGCGACACCGGGGCGGCAGCGGGGCGGCCACGGGGCGGCGACGGGGAAAGCCTCGCGGGGCCCAAGCACTTTCCCGAGGAGTCCAGTAAGAGTCCCACAGTGCAGGCATTGTTTTGGGAAGTGCCCAGCGCGGAAGGGCAAGGGACAAAGGTGGTGCGAATGCGGGTTCCGACCAAGAGTGGTGCGCAGGGGGTCCGTGATATCCCCCCGTATACGGGATCGGGAAGAAGTGTGGATCATATTTCCTGCGCTTGCAGCGAGAAGGAGGATGAGGAGGAGTGTCATCAATTGGTCGAAGCTCTCGAAGTCTCCGTCCCACTGCGATGGAAGTCCGTTCTCTCTGCCAACTTCTCCTCGCCGAGTGCGAGAGGCCTTTCGAACTGTATCGAGCCAGAACAGCGTCCAAACATATACCTGCTCTATCTGCTGTCTGCTACTGCACATGCCAGCTTGCTGGAACGGGGGAAGGGGACAGGGAAAACTGTAACTCGTAAGCTACACGCCTCCCAAACACAACTAACACACATTGTATGGAGTTCAGCTGACAGTTCGAGGAGCGACCAGGGGAGGCCTTCATACAGAGGCCAAGGTTTAACTCTCCGTTGCAACTCGCCCAACACATGTATAGCTTGGTATATAATGATATGACGCGAGTTCGCCCTTTTCTTTTGTCCCCTTCTCTTTCCTGGCTGGCTGGCTGGTTGGCTGGCTGATTCGTAGTTGGTTGGCCAGTTTGTTCGGCGATGGGGCTTCCGACTTGTTCGCATGTCGGCAGGCTCGCTTTCGATTCTTGTGATGCTCCCGATAGTGTATCAAGACATCTTCGGAGGGTAGTTTTTGGAGCTCCCCTTGAAATGTTGTTACCATCCTGGACCTCCATGAGGCCCTCCAGGGGCTTTCTGGGGGCTCTCTTGGGGTCCTCGTGGGGCCCTCTTGGGGTCGCCAGGGGCTGCCCAGTGCCAGGCGGCTGTCCAGGGCTCGCCTCTTTGGGGTGGGCCCCGAGCGTGCCCTGCAAGTTCGTATGTTGAGCCGCTATCAATAAGCTACCTCTGAAGCCCCTCTTTGGGATTCCTACTGGACCTTCTGGTGACTTCCTTGGGTCCTTCTTTGGGCCCTCTTAGTGCCATTTGGGGCCCTCCAGGGCCCTGCCCGTCAGGGTGCCATCGGTGGCCTTGGCCCAGGCTGCTCCCAAGACGGCTCCAAAACCGGACGCCAAAGGCCCCCAATACCGCATTTCCAGCAGACGTCCAAGAGGCTTCGAGACGACCCATGAACGGCTGGAGGGCACGGAAGCTCTTCAAGAATGCGCCCCGGGAAGGCGTCATCGTCGAATTCGAGGCCTTGCCGGGGCGACCCAGCTGGGTTTTCTTGACTTCGTTGCGCCTTGGCTTGGCCCCAGATGCGTGGCCAGGAAGAGAGGCGGAGGATTTCGAAACTCCGTGGTGTGGCTTTGGTGGCATGTACTTCGGAGCCAGACTCGGGAACAGGTCTTCGTTGCTAAGTTCCTCCTCCTCCTCTGGTCTCTGGGTGAATCCAAGGAAGCGCAAGAAACGTCGAATAAGCCCCAGGACTCCCAGACATGTCGCCAGGATCCCAAGAGTTAATTGCCGCAGGTCCCTCTACCACCCCGAACGATCTCCAGAATCGCCCCTACCTTTCTCATTGGCAACTTGCGATGCGAGTTCCCTGAGCGCGGCTAGAACCTAAGCGCGCGCGAAGCGCGCGCGTGGTTTTAGTATATGTACATATATCGAACTATATTTACACATGCGTGTATGTATGTATGTATGTATGTATGTATGTATGTATGTATGTATGCATGCATGCATGCATGCATGCATGCATGCATGCATGCATGCATGCATGTATGTATGTATGTATGTATGTATGTATGTATGTATGTATGTATGTATGTATGTGCATGTATGTATGTATGTATGTATGTATGCATGTATGTATGCATGCATGCATGCATGCATGCATGCATGCATGCATGCATGCATGCATGCATGCATGCATGCATGCATGTATGTATGTATGTATGTATGTATGTATGTATGTATGTATGTATGTATGTATGTATGTATGTATGTGTGTGTATATATATATATGTCCCTCCCTCTCCCAGGAGAGACGAGGGGAAGAGGAGTGCGGAGGAGGGGGAGGGAGTGGAGGTGGTGATGGCTTATCGTCTTGGGTCCCGCGCGATTGATAGTCCGACTCGACCCGATCTCCCGCTGCGCTGCTGGCCGACCCTGCCGGGCCCCCCCCGGCTCGCGAGGTCGCCAGAGGGCGCGGGCCTCGTGTCCGTGAAGCCAGACGTGAACCGCACGGCGGGCCCGCGTCTGGCCAGCCTTTGCGCGGGCTTCGGCCGCGCGTAGAGGGGGGTGGGGTCAAGTCGGGCGTGTCCTCCCTCCACAGGAGGAATGTTCAAGAGTAGTCAAAAAGTAGGCTGGGGACGATTTCAGGAGCATTTTTTGACATGTTTGAATTTCTTCTTTTGCCTTTTTTAGATTTTTCATCCAAAATCCGCCTGTAGGAGGAAACGCCCGACCTAGGGGTAGGGGGAGGGGGGAGGGCTTCTTAGAAGCACCCCTGCTTCTTAGAAGGCGCGGGCCTTCTCTGTAGATGTAAGGCCGGCGCTTTCTAAGAAGCAACCTCCTCGTAAGAAGCCTTCCCCCCTCACCGTACCCCTTTTGCGCGCCGCGAAGGGTTACTGCTGTCGTAGGCAGGCCGCTGGGCGCACGCTCTTTTTGGTGTTGCGGCCACGCACGCGGCGTCGCGGCGTACGGTCGGTTCGCGTCGCGTCGACCGGCGGCGACCCCGCCGCCGACGTTCAACAGTCGACTCAGAATTGGCCGAGCGATCCGACGTTTTGGAAGCGGCCAATCATTCAAGTTTGGACGATCCCCGTGGTGTCAGGAAGCAGCGCCGAAGTCGGCGCGACGCGAACCTGCCGTAGGCAGTCGAGCGGGAGAGCGTGCGCGGCTGGGCCAGATCACGCGGCGTGTAGAGCAGGGATCCGCCCACAGGGGATCAACCGGGTCGCTCGTGGTGGGGCGCGAGGGGCGGGGGATACGGGGAGAGGGGGAGAGTGGCAGGCGTCAGGAGCCGCCTGCAAGCAGGCGGAGACAGGCAGCTTCGAGCACGCTGCACCTGAGGCCGCGGCAACGTGTGCGCTCGAGCGGGAGACGAGGGGCGGGGGCCACTGCTTTTTCGTAGCGTTTTTCATTCATTGTTTTGCCGATTGGCGCGGGCCCTCGCACCCCCCCTCCCCCCCTCCCCATGGAGTAGAGCTTGGCTGTTTTTGGCGCCTGCTTCGAGCAGGTGGAGTCCCCCCCCCATAGCACGCACTGTTGCAAGCAGTTGCGCTAAGCAGAGGTCCGGAGCTAGACCCCTCCCCCCCTTTCCGCCCAATGTCTAAACGCCGAATAGGAAAACACTCACGGAGGAGAACCCTGGACCACGGCCATGGAGAGCCCATCGGCAGGGGGCCGACTCCTGGGTGGTAGTACGCCCGAGCGTCGTCCTGTTGCGGGTGACGCTCGGGCGTGCCACCGCCCAGGCGGCGGCCCCCTACCGATGAGTTCTCGGCAGCGGTGGTCCATGTTGCTCCTCCAGCGTTCGAGGATTGAGGGCGGATGATCGACGGTCTGCTCTGACTGGATTCTTCGTCGCCGCGGCTGGACTCCCCTACGGCCTAGGACATTTTCTTGACGCTCCGCGTCTCCTCAACAGCCCATCCAAAAGCGATGCCCAGGAGAGTTGTTTTTACCAGGGATGTGTAGGAGCAAGCAGTGGATTGAAGAGGGGGGCAGCAGTCAAACCGAAGCTCGGGATCAGCCTGATCAGACCCAGGAGTAATGCATCAGACTGCTCGACATGGGAGCCTCTTGGTACCCTTTTGGGGCTATCTTGTGGCCCTCGTGAGGGCCTTAGGAGGCCTCTTGCGGCCATTTTGAAGACCATCGATCAAGGCCCTCCCCGTCGAAGCCCGCAAACTCACCTCGTGGGGCACTCTTGGGGCGCTTCTGGCTCGCTCTTTGGCGCTCTGGGGCCCGTGTTGGAGCCCATCTTGGGCCGCTTGAGAGGCATCTTGGACCATTTTGGCGGCCTTGGTTGCCTTCTTCGCCGTCTTGGAAGCTCGGGAGCGTCGACCAGTTGTTTTTTCGTGGCCTCGGGCGGGGGGGCGGTGCATGCAGCAGGTTGCTGGTAGGAGGGGGGCGCCCCTTAGAACAATGCAGAAGTCCTACAAGACAGCCCTTGCCATGCCCACACGCTTCAACGTGCCAGGGGGCACGGTGGCGGATGAATCCGAAACTAGATTCTCAAGGTCATGAACATATGACGAGGGAGGTTTTGTTCGCCGCTCTTGTCTTCTGGGGGCCGTTCTCGGGCACCCAGGACCGTCAAAACACAGCTCGAGATGAAAGCTTGCACTGGAGGCAATCGCTCTGGTGGACGGAGAAGGGCGGGGGCAGCCCTGACATCCTCGCAGGTTGGAGGTCGGAGGTCGTTTTCGGCCTCCCGGGTCCCTCACGGGGCCCCGGTGCAGCCAGCAACAGCGAATCGTGATGCAAAGCCAGTCCTTGGGAAAAGCGTCGGGACTTCTGGCGGCCCCGCAATGACAATTTTAGATCATCGGATTTCCAGGTCTGCGCGGGAGAGAGGAGGCTGGGAGGGTCGGAGGGATCCCCAGAGGTCTCTGGACCCCCGTAAGCGCCTGCAGAGGTCAGTAGAGGCCTTCAAAGGTCCCCCGAGAGTCTCCAGAGGCTTTCGGTGACGGAGAAATTGCAGAGAAGGTGCAACAAACATTGATCGCCCCCCTTTGTCGTCTCCTCCTCCTCGACCTCCCCCCGCTCCCAAGATGCCTGACCTCCGATGTCGTGATCCTGTCAAGACGTGTCCCTCCTCACCTCTCGGCCCCTGCGCTGTTCGATGGTCCCAGGGCACGGGGGCGGCCCTCAGAGGCAGCGCTTTGATCGAAACATCATTATTCTGGAGGGGGTACTTATCAAGGGGGGGCGATTCGCCTTCCAGCTGAGCTTGCCCATGCCCGCCCCCTCCTTCCTCTCCTCGCCCTCCTCGTCTTCCTTCTCTTCCTCCAGCCCCCCCTCGACCCGTTCCGACAGCACACGCCCAGCCGCCCCAGCGGATTCAGGGGGGGGGGCGATTGATGTCGAATCCAGAGGATCCAGACATGCGACGCCGTGTTTATTTCGCAGTGCGCCCCCCAAAGGTCTGCACCCTTCCTGGGTACTGGCTTTTCGTTCAGAGTCGTATCCTCATGGCCGAGGGCCTCTGGCGACCGAACGCTGCCCAGACCCTTCTGCTGTCGTGTTCTTCTGTACGAGGCGAGGAGGTGTCGGGTCGTAACTCGGGCCTCGGGCGGCCGTTGAGAGGGCTCTCGGGGCACCTCCAGAGCGCTCCCGGCGAGGCGCAGCTGCAGGATCAGTTTTCGATGCTGGAACACTCTTTGTTGGAAACCGACGAGCAGGCTTTTTGTTCCCAACCATCCTGTGGTTTTGGGTCCTCGTTTTGAAGGGTCAGCGCCCCGCGTTCCTCCTCACTCCTCCCCCTCCCTCCTCTCTCCCATCCTTGCCTCTGCCCTCACACGTTCTCATCGTCATCAGCGGCATCATCATCACGACGACCATCATCGTGATCATTATCCTCATCATCGTCAACACCATCGTCATCGCCATCACCATCAGCCGTTCTGTCACACTCCTCACACGTTTCGTGGCCCCATAGGGAGCTCCACCTAAGGCCTCAGTGGCGACGTTCACATATGGGCGTCACGCCCGTGTCGGCACACCCCTCACACGTTTCGTGGCCGCACAGAGAGCTCCACCGACGGCCCCAGTGGAGAGACTTTCGCATATGGGCGTCACGCAAGTTTCAGCACACCGCTTACACGTTTCGTGGCCCCGTACGGATCTTCACCGAACGGCCCAGTGGCGACGTTGGCATTTGGGGGTCACGCTCTCTTCGGCACACCCCTCACACGTTTCGTGGCTCCGTTTGGAGCTCCACCAAAGTCCCAAGTGGCGGCGCTCGCATTTGGGGGGGGCACCGAAGGCCCCAGTGACGACGTTCGCATGTGGGCGTCACGCCCGTTTCGGTACCACCCTCACACGTTTCGTGGCCCCATAAGGAGCTCCACCGAAGGACCAGTGGCAGCGCCCAGACGGCGGCCCCGTCTCATTTTGGCACACCTCTCCCACGTTATGTGGCGCCAGAGGGAGCTCCACCTGAGGCCCCAGTGCCTGCACCCGCATGGCGTCCCCACCTCACTTCGGCACACCCCCTTCACACGCTACGTGGTCCCATAAGGAGATCCACCGAAGGAGATACCCACAACGACGGTACTCACAACTGCATGCGGTTCGGTTTTTCGTGTTTGTTTCCCTAGGGAGCGATCGTTTTGAAGAGACAGTGATCGTCTGTGGAATGGTGCCATCGTTTTGAAGAGAGAGCGCCCCGCGTCTTCTCTCTCCCCTCCCTCCTCCCAGATCTGTCATCCATGCCTCTGCCCTCCCCATGTCAACCATGTCGGTTTCGTCACCCCCTAAGGGGCTCCGCTGAAGGCCCCAGTAGCGACGTTCGCACGTGGGCGCCACGCCCACACGTTTCGTGGCCCCCATAGGGAGCTGGACCTGAGGACCCAGCGCCACGCCGATTTTGGCACACCCATCGCACGTTGCGTGGCCCCAGGTGGAGCTTCACCCAATGCACCAGGTGGCCGCGCCCCCGTGCGGCCGCCACGCCCGTTCTGGCACACGCCTCGCGGGGCTCGTGGCCGCACAGGGAGCTCCGCCTGAGGCCCCAGTGGCGATTTTCGCATGTGGGCGTCACGCCCGTGTCGGCACACCCCTCACACGCTTCGTGGCCCCGTACGGGGCTCCATCTAAAGTTCCAGTGGCAGGGTTCGCATGTAGGCGTCACGCCTGGGTCGGCACACCCCTCACACGTTTCGTGGCCCCATAGGGAGCCCCACCTGCGGCCCCCGTGACGACGTGCGCATGTGGGCGTCACGCCCGTTTCGGTACCACCCTCACACGTCTCGTGGCCCCACAAGGAGCAACACCGAAAGCCCCAGTGGCGGTGTCCACAGGCGGCCGCCTGTTTTGGCACACCCCTCACATGTTTCGTGACCGCACAGGGAGCTCCACCTGATGCCCCAACGGCGGCGTCCCCGTGTGGGCGTCATGCCCGTTTCGGCACACCCTTCACACGTTTCGTGGCCCCATAGGGAGCTCTACCGAATACCCTGGTGGCGGTGACCATAGGCGGCCGCCCTACCCTTTTCGGTACATCCCTCACACGTTTCGTGGCCGCGAAGGGATCTCCACCGAAGGCCCCAGCGGCGGTGTCTACATGTGGTCGATCTACCCATTTCGGCACACCCTTCATACGTTTTGGGGCCCCGTAGGGAGCTCCGCCGAATGCCCCAGTGACAGCGCCCGCATGGCGGCGCACCATTTCGGCTCACCCATTGCACGCTTCGTGGCCCAATAGAGAGCCCCAGTGGCAGCGCCCGCATGGCCGCCCCGCCCCATTTCGGCACACCCTTCGCACGCTTCTTGGCCACAAAAAGGCGATACTCACAACGAGTGTGATCGCGACTGCCTGTGGTTGGGTCCCTGGTCAGGAGTGTGTGTGTGTGTGTGTTGCTTGCTTGCCCGCTTGCTCGCTGGATTGCTAGTTAAGTAGTTTATTAGTTAGTTAGCAAGTTAGTTCGTTAGCTAGCTAGTTAGTCAGTTGGCTGTTTAGTTAGTTAAGCAGTAAGCTTGTTTGTTTGTTAGTTTGTTGTTATATTAGTTTGGTATATCGTTAGTTTGCCAGCGTGCGAGCTAGTTGATAAGCTAATCAGTCTGTTTGATTGCCTGCTTGCTTGCTTGTTTGGTTGATTGTTTGTCTGAGTGGTTGGTTGGTTGGTTTGTCGGTTGTTTGGTTGTTTGGTTGTTTGTTTGCTTGTTTGTTTGTTTGACTGTCTGCCTGGCTGTCTGTTTGGTTGTTTGCATGTTAGTTTGTTTGTTAGTTTGTTTGTCCGTTTGTTTGAAACGGGTGTCAGACACCGTTCGTCGTGATTTGTTTTAAGAGGCGAGGAGGTCAGAGGACGTCGGAGGTCTGGGAGGCCTGGGAGGGTGGGCTCGGTCTCGCTCGCCGCCACTCCCCCCAGTCCTGGTGCTGCCAGAGGTGTTCCTAGCTCCTCCTCCTCCTCCTCGTCCTCCTTCTCGTCCTCCTCCTCCTCCGCCTCCTCCTCCTCCTCCTCCTCCTCCTCCTCCTCCTCCTCCCCCAGGTGTCCCCAGGATTTCCAAGGAGGCCCCCACAGCCTCCAGAGCACCCCTCACGAGGCCCCGAGGGCCCCAGGGGGTCCAAAATGGCGCGAAAAGCTGGCGACACCTTGGGCCAGGGACACCCTTGGCAGCCCCCGACCATCCGCCGCCACCCGCACCTCAGGCGTTCGTGGCCTTCGGCACCGACGACGACGCGCAGCGCGCCGCCCTGTGGCTGCG